AAAAAAAAAAAAAAAAAAAAAAAAAAAAAAAAAAAAAAAAAAAAAATGTGTGCATTTGTGCCGGTGGCTGCAGTTGGCGCTTTCTTTACAGTAGCATCCGATGGTCATAAATTCATTGATTAGAAGCATTTGCAATTTGCAATAAATCACTTTTATGTAGTTGCTTTCAACCATTTGTTAATGTTAATAAAAGATTTACACATACATACGCACGTACATACGGCCATACCTATGTTTGTCTGATCGTTACATGCTACCGATCGTGCTAAGCGACCCACACATGTCCCCTGGGCAAACAAAGAAAAACACGTTGAATGCAAGCATATAAATATAAATAAAAAAATCACACCCAATGCCATAAGATGGTGAGAAAATGATAGGTACATACATATATACATACTGGCATATAGGAATAAACCCTGTAAAAGCTGCAACTAGTCCGGACAGACGCCAGAATCAGTGGCGAGGAAAATGCCACTCGATTGCTATTTTATGGCCCTGAAAGAGACTATAGTCGCTTAAAACAAGTAGTCGAATAAGAATCGAACGTGCGAGATCAGGTTTGCTGGGCGAATACTCTGTTGACTGTGCCAATTCAGAATTTTTAATCACATATTTTAACACATACACGCACACACATGCATCCAAAGCAAGTATAAACACTACCCCCTTCTTTACCTCTGTCTCTCTCTCTCTCTCGCCCACACAGACTGGTTACATTAAAACAAGTTTTGGCTCACTGCTCATACAACCGGTCAATCAAACGGGCGATGGCGATTCGGAGGTGTTGCACAAAGTGTGGCGTCATTCGCGTCGCAATGCCAGACACGCAGTCGCCGCCGATTCATTGGGCATGGAATTGCTGGAGCTCGAAGAGAGTTTATTCACAAAGCTGCATCGCAAGAAACGCAACTACGTCGACCGTCATGTCTTCACCATGGAAGTGCTGGTGGCTGTCGATAAGACGATGAGTGAATTTCACGGTGCCGATTTGAAATCGTACATACTTACGCTAATATCGATTGTTTCGAATATATTTGCTGATGCCAGTATTGGCAATTCGATTTATATTTCTGTGGCGAATATATTGATTCTGCGTGACGATCGCAGAAAAGGTGCGTATTTGTGTGTTTGTTTGTGTGGTGGTAGTGGTATTTTGTGACCCAGTAGCTCCCAATATTGATAATCACTTGTGAGGTTTTACAATTTCTTTAAAACTTATTTTTGCATATTTTATTTTTACTCGTTCTAGCCAAGTCAGCGTCTGAAATGTTGAAGGAATTTTGTAATATTTTTTCGAAGCAGGGTTACCACTATGATACAGCAATGCTCATTACACGGTGAGCCGCATTCTTTGAAAAATAACCACTTATATTACATATATGAAATATGCTAAAGACTTTATAACAAAAATTGAGTTTAAGACATCAAAACATTTTTTTTTTTTAATTCTATTTGCAGCGATCAAATTTGTGGTAATGAAGGTGAGCGCTGCGACACTTTGGGTCTGGCAGAACTGGGCACTGTCTGCAAGCGTCGATCGTGTTCCATAGTACAGGATAATGGATTGCCGGCCGCATTTACCATTGCGCACGAGTTGGGGCATGTGTAAGTTGAATTAGTTAGTTTTAAATATTGGTTTTCTTATTTACATTTTCTTTAAACTTGAAATCTTGCTGCAAGTAGCGTATTAATATACAGTGGTGGTCAAAACTGGATGAATGGTGTTTTGTTTTTAATATTTACAATAATTTTCAAGCTAATTTGTTTTTGTGTTTTTTTTTTTCTTATAAAAATATGGTTCGTGTTTTAACCAAAACCATGTAAATCAAACTTTCAGACTTTATATAGGACTCACAAGAATTCAATTAATTTTTATACAGAATTTTTAATCAGAATTTATACAAAATTTAGTAAAATAAGCGATTTTTAATATTTTTTTTTTTGAATATGTACAGTGGCGAGCAGAAATGAGTACATGGTGATTTTTGCTAAATATTTGCAAGTTTTTAAAGTTAAAATTTTTTTGTTATTTTTTCATAAAAATAGGGTTCATGCTTGACCCAAAATTATATAAATCAATCTTTCAAACTTTATACAGAGCTTAGAAAATACAGAGAGAAAATGCAAAATTCAACAAATATGTACATATGTATCTGGTTTTGGTTAAAGCATGAACCATATTTTTATAAAAAAAATTTTGTTTGAAAACATTGTAAATATTAAAACAAAACACCATTCATTATCGTGAGGAAACCATGAGGACATTTAGTGCAACCAGCCTTGTGATTTCCTATTTTTAAAAACTAAGTAGTTTGAAAAAAGTGGAAAAAATGATTAAAATAAATGTCAATGCGAAATTAAAGGTTAAAACAAATATAGCAATATTGCATGGGAAATATTTTCGCGGAACATTTTAACCCATTAACTCCCGACTGAGAAGGTCGTTTTGACCCTTACTCCAAAAAACCCCGGAAAAAGCAAATTTGGTAGTTTGTTATAGGATTGATATATTCTAGAAAATTATTCTTCGAAAAATTTTACTAGGGGTCTCCTCAGGCAAAAGCTTTAAGCCCACATTCATGATTTCTGATGATATCTTCTATTCAGGTTAAATATGCCACATGATGACGATGATCTATGCAAACCTTTCAATCGTCCGGGCACTAAAAATAAAATGCATATTATGTCGAGTATTATGGGCAGCGACATTCATCCGTGGTCGTGGTCGGATTGTTCGCGCAATTATGTCTCGGAATTTTTAGAGTAAGTACTTAAAAAAAAATGTAATTAATTTAAAGCCTAATTTGTATTTAGCACAGACCCGAAGATGTTTACCAAATCTTATTCAAGTGGTTTTAGTACAGTTATTTGCTGTGTATAATACTATGGTCTCTCCCCTCTAATTTATTCACACTTTCTCCCGCTTGTTAACTCTACTCTCCCCTCGCCCCGTAGAAAAGAAGACAAATCCTGCCTCGAAGATACGCCCACATTCTACATTAAGAACTTCAACACCAAGTTGCCCGGTGAGATCTACTCGCTCAACCATCAATGCCAGCTAATTCATGGCAATCAATCGCGCTACTGTCGCATCGATGGCGAATGCAAGCGTTTGTGGTGCAAAACGGATAGCAGCAGCAGTGATTGTCGCAGCAGCAATCTGCCCTGGGCCGATGGCACTCCGTGCAACAACGACCGCCACTGGTGTCAGAAGGGCGAATGTGTGCCGCGTGAAGGTAAATCGTTGCAGGCCATACACGGCGGTTGGGGTGCATGGAGCGCTTTCACACCCTGCAGTTTGACTTGTGGCGGTGGCGTACAGGAATCACAGCGGGAATGCAACAATCCATTGCCGAAGAATGGTGGTAAATATTGTGCAGGCAGTCGTAAGAAATATCGCTCGTGCAATACGCATGCATGTCCGCCGGGCACAATGGATTCGCGTGAGCAGCAGTGCTACGAAATGAATGGCAGAAATTTCTCCAGCAAGGGTATTGCACGTTCGGCCAAATGGATACCCAAGTATGGTTGTAAGTGGATAATTTTAGTGATAACAATAAGTATTTGTTATGGTAAATTTTTTTATTTATTTTTTTAAATTTTTTTCTTCTCCCTCTTCCTTTTCCTTTGCCAGTGTCCTCGGCGGACAAATGCAAATTGTTTTGTCGCTTGGAAGACAACAGCGCGTATTTTAAACTCTCGGACAAGGTGAAAGACGGCACCACATGTTCATTCGACAGTTTTGACAAGTGTGTCAATGGCATTTGCCGGCCGGCAGGTTGTGACAATGAATTGAATTCGCTGGCGAAATTAGGTAAAATTGGCGAAAATTGAAATTATCTATTAGACATAAGAAAAATAAGTAAATATTGGTATGACTTCGATAGACGGAAATGGCTGTGCGTGAAAATGCGGTGAGTTATTAAACAAAAAGTGTATTTTCAGACAAACGCCGGCCATGAAATATAGATCTATATATAAACAAAATGAAAGAATATTTATAAATAAAATATTTATATGTCCATTGGCGTGGTCAGATGAATGCGCATAGTGCCGGCACAGCTGGACTAGCAGCGACATAGTGCCAATGATGGACAGTCAAGGTGATGTGGCAACGTACTATGATGACGAGTCCCTCAATGCTAGCGTAGAGCTAATGAAAAAAAAATAATTATGATTCAGCCATCACATCATTCACACGACAATGCGGGGTGGCTTCGAAAATTATTTGAAAATTTGAATATAAAAAAAAAATATCAACGTGTTGATTTTTTTGTGTGGCCGTTGATTTAGCGCTTTATAATTTATATACGTACGTCTAATAAAATAATTTAATTTTTTGACAAATTTTGTATTGCTTAGATAACACTGTGCAATAGCCGAGACCAGCCCGGACTTTGTTAACATTTTCTGAAAGCTGGGCTGGTTTAAATTGTCATAAAATGGTGGCACAGTGTAATTTTTATTTTCTAAATTTTTTTTTACACATTTATTAAATCGCACATTTTTCCTACTTTTTACAGACAGATGTGGCGTTTGTGAGGGTCGCAACGATACCTGCCAGGAGCATACTGGCAACTTTTATGTTTCCGATTTGTTCAAATCCAAGTCCGAGTCATACTATTACTATGTGACAACCATACCAAAAGGTAATAAATTTTGTCTTCCACTTTTTTTTTATATGTATATTTTTTCCTAGAGACCAAAGGTTATTTCATTATTTCACTTAAAAAATGCACGCTAATGACTATTCTGTGCCATAAAAACTTGTTAGATTTTTATATGTCACATTAATTTATTTCACCTGTGTATTGCGCACAGTCATTTGTGCTTTGTGAACAAAAGCAAGAACAAAAAATTAACATAATTTTTTAGCGCACAACTTTCAATGTTGCAGCAAGATATTTAGCAATCAATTAAGAGCACAAGCGACAGATTAACTTTTGGAAAATCGAGTAAAAAGATCTTGATATGCAGTGGTGAAAATATAAATAGGGAAGAGACATTTAAATTTTTTAACTATTTTCCTATTTTTTATGAAAGTTATCTTACAAAAATCATGTAAGTCAAAATTTTAATTTTGAACAAAAATTAGAAAAAGATACTGAGACTTAAGTTGCTAGGATTATTCTTCGAAAGAAATTTCCATAGACTTTTGTTCCTGCTTTGTTCTTTGCCAAAACCTTCCGGAGACTTTTGTTCCCAATTTGTTCTATAAAAAATTTTCCCAAAAGTATTGTTCGAATTTTGATCGCTTTGCGAACTATCCTCAGGGTTTTGTTCTTATATAATTCCCGTTGAGAACGTTGTCGACTAAAATTTAATGGGCTCTAGAACTGCGTACTCAAAAATTAAATGGTTAAACTTTGACGAATTTTTATAAATATTCTACAAGGTTTTCAGTTCAGATTTACCTGATGTTTTGAGATACTAAGCTATATCTTCATAAAAAAATAATAAAAAATTTATAAAACAGTCATACAGATTTAGTAAAGATTAGACATGCCTTAGACAAAGATTACAGACATGTGCTAGTTTTCAATAGTAAGGGGTTTTGAGTTGTGTCGTTATTGCTGAGTAACAATTTTTTAATAAATTATATTTATATCCGCTCACACAAGTATCCATAACCCATTTTTTGTTGGTGTAGCTCTGCTTAAAAACTACATTAATATTAATTTTCAATGTTTTTCGCACATTAATAAAAAACATACATACATACATCACCACATTTATGCATACATATGTGCATTTATTGTATCTCCGTCCCCCACCTTCCACCCATCCATCTGCCAAGTGTCACATCGGGTGCACCTAGTCGTATAAGCGCCATTTGTACTGCAATCACATCGCGTAAATTGCACACATTCCATTGTACATATGTATAAACACTCAACACACACACACAACTACGTGCATATGCACTCATAACGTGTCATTTCTCGCCTCGTCTAATGGTCAATTAGCACATTTTTGTCACCCTGGGCGCACCGTGCGCAGTAATTACACATGTATCTTGGTTGTTGCCTGCATTTTTGCTGCTTTTGTTGTAAATGTTTTTATAATTGTTGTATGAAAATAAATATTTGTTTAATTTTTTTTTATGTTGAGTTGCCATATGCGGAAGTGTGCATTGACTGCAAGTGTTTAAAAGTATTAATGAGCTAGGAGAGAGTTATATATTTGCAGTAAGTGTATTTGAAGTGGTAACAAAAGTGGGTAGATTGGGATCAGTTCGCTTGGGGTGACTTTTGAGCGGAGATTGTTAAGGAATATATGTACATATTTTTAAGTTTTTATTTAAAAAAAATGCAAATGTGGCAGTAAAAGTTGAAAGGGATCTAGGGTTCGAAAATAAGTTTTGGACAAAAACGATTTTGATGGTAACAAGTGAATTTGTTTGCACCGTTTTGGTCAAAATATATCCATATTTGAAGGGAATTTTCAAGGTAAAGGTAATGCAACTAAAAAGAGCGTAGCATCCACATGCTATAAGAATTGGTAATGAAACTTTTTTTCAGCCCTACGGCTACGGGCTTGCTTTTAATTATCACTCTCACATCATATATAAATTAGTGTGTCCCCCTAAAATAAAAATTGTGTTAACACTTCCGCCAAAATAAGTCGGGGGCTGCACCGACTTTAAAATAGCATCAATAATCTCATTATTTTGATTCTGTTGATTAAGTTTTTAAGTTTTTAAAGATGCAGACCTTTTAAGCTTAAACTTTTCTATCATCTGAATCGATCTTTTGGAAAGATTACATATTTATTTTTAAAAACTAACTTATTTATTAACTTAACTCTATTTTTCGAGTTATTTTTAAAGCTCACGTAAATCTTAATATTTTTCCGAAACATCTTGGGAGAAGTTTAAACTATAAAACATTTTATAATTTCGATGAAAAACAGTAACTTCTTTGTATGGAGAGTAATGCACCCTAATGAACATGCATAGCGTGTATATCATTTCGAATTTTCGAAGGTATCATGAGACTCGTCTCACTTGAACACATTTATTGGTGACAGGTAATAAGGTCAATGGAAATAATGTCAATTGACTTTATTTCCCACCCTGGTGCGAAATAAAGTCAATTGACATTATTACCTTTTCAAAAGCGAAATAAAGTCAACAAAAATTTGGAAATAAAGTCATTGACGCTATTTCCTCATTCAAATGGAAATAGCGTCAACAATGCTTAAAGTATGTCGATTCATAGAAAAAAATGTTGTTCTTACAATAAACATTGCCACGTAAGTGTTGTTTTTTAATAGCAGAAAAAGGCTTTTGCCAAATCCTCAGTGTTGTGATATTAATCCACACACAATCATGAACTACCACCAAGTGATTCTATTAAAAAAAAATTTTTATTACGAATATGTAAAAACACGATGCGAAAAACTAAATGCCTGCGCACAGCTGGAATATGAGAAATATTTGAAGAAAGAGTGGAGAAATGATCCATAACTTGCAAAACATTTTTCGTTTCTACAAAAATAAAGCGAACACTATTAAATTGAAGAATCAGTACATGTCCAAAAACCACGGAGGAGCACTGAAAGAATTCTGTGTTTTAAACTAGCATATTTTGAACGAATTCGGAATGTCTAAGGTGGAAAAGAACCCAACTTTTCTATAAGGAAACAATTATAAAAAAAGAATTTTCTTACACTGTATTTATGCCTACGCCAGCAGTCAATTAAAAGCAGCTAAGGAGAACGACGACACTACTTATTAGATGGCACATTCAACGAGCCAATGTGCCAAAATGCGGGTATAAACAATTATTGATTATTTAATATCGGAACCGAGATCATATAAGTTAATTGATTGGTTTTCACACACTTTTGAAACACAAATTATATGCTTTTTAACTGCAGACAAGTTGTTGCCTCAAAACACAGCAGAAATCTTCCAATCAGGGCTGCCAACTCTCCTTAGTTATGAGGTGCCATATTGAGGATAAAAAAAGTGCCAAAATGTGCCAAATAGAAAAATAAAAGTGCGAAAAAAGGTGTAATTCCTTTTAATCATTCACATTTAGCAATAAAATAAAGCCACATTTTCAAAACAAAAGTGCAATGATAAAATAAGATAAACCAGTCGAAAAGCCTTTATAAATTAGAAAATTTTAGTTGAGCAAAAGAAGTGCACGCAAAGGATTTCACAAAACTGTATTGAAATGTTATTTTTTTTACAAAAGTGCCATTTTGGCATTTTGTGCCAAATTGAAAAATTAAGTGCCATTTGAAGTAAAATAGGAACGTAGCGTAGCGTGACGTGGTGTGCGCGCCGGTCGCGCTGGGTACGCGGGACGCGAGCGCGAGCGCGACGCGCGCGGTGTGGCGCGCTGACGCGGGCCGCCGCGAAGCTAAGAAAATTTAATGTTTGAAAGAGAAATAACGTCCATTGATTTTATTTCGTTTTTAAAAAGGTAATAATGTCAATTGACTTTATTTCGCACCAGGGTGGGAAATAAAGTCAATTGACCTTACTTCCGTTGATCTTATTACCTGTCACCACATTTATTACTTACTCGAGAAATGCAAAAATAAATGAGAAAATTTGCCAATTATTTTTTTAGCAGATTTACTGACTCCTGATTGGAAGAAGATTCTTTTCGGAATTATCGTATACAGTTTTCGGGACCTTTCGGATTTTTGCGGAACTTGTTTTACTTGTTCGGAACTTTGAAATTAGTTTTGCTTTTGGAGTATTTAAACCTTTTGGATTTTTTCGCAACTTAAACGCGCTTTTGAAATTTTCGGAAATTTTCAAGAAATACTGAGTATTTTTCATTTTTTGGGGATTTTATTAGGTATTTTCGGAACTTTTTGAGGGTTTTCGAGAATTTTGGAAACTTGTACGTGTTTTCTGATGTTTTTCCGGGAGTTTGTCAGTGTCTCTCGGGATGGTTCGAGACTTCTCAGTAATTTTTAGCAGTTTCTGTTGGGCTTTTCAAGTTTTTTCGAAAATTTTTAAGTACAAAAGTACATGAATTTTTAACCTTGCTTTTATGGAGACCTAAAAAATGATAAACAAACACTACCTGTTTTCCTTTGCTCAAAACTTACCAAGAAGGGCTTTGTTAGAGCATACCCTTCGGGCTGTCTTACACCAGTCCTTCAGTCAGGAACAAAACATATCCGCGGGTGATACATATTTCTGTAAATTTTATGCGGACGTGCATAGAGGAAAAGCTATTTCTCAAAGTCGCTGCTGTAAGGACACGCAGGACATAATAATAGTGTAAGATTAGATTAAAATCGGTAAGATACCGTTAGTCTATTTACGGAGAAAAGAAATTAATAAAATCGTAAGCTCCTTTGTTTAATTTGGCGGAAAACTATCGTCGCGCTGAATCCAGCGCCGACAGTTTTCGTACAGTGTCGGAGAAGATTTAGTATGACTAGGGATCTGAGCTTAACCTTCGTATTTTGGATGTCCTTAATGTTCTCAAGTTTAGACAGGCTGACCGTGCCTCTTCATTTCGTGCCTTGTTGAGTGTAGTAGAACAATATTTAAAAAGCACTGGAAAGTTATGCGGGAAAGCTTTACAAAGTTTCTGCCGTGAGGTATGTGTCGCTCGGGTCTAGCGTAGAGCATAACTTTAGGTATACTGCAAAAAGTTCTATGTAAAATATTATGGCCGGAACTGAAATGATCTGTCACTTGTACCTGAAAGTTTTTGATAATTGTAATCTTAATGAGAGTATAACGATTTAAAGACGCATTCCGGTACTGACAATAGATTATCTAAGTGCCAAGGCTAATTACCAATGATAAGGTACGCCTTAATGCATTGTTTAACTTTCTATTCCCGGATTAATGTCTAGGTCCAATAGCTTCGGCGCAACGAGTCAGGGTCTGCAGGGACGGTAAAGTTGCACTACAAGTCTTCGTTGGTGTGTGCACCACACATCTGCAAAGCAACCAAACAGTGTATACATACAAATTGCAATCCATTTCGCTCGAAATGTTATTAACTTTCACTAAATACTAGCTCTTATAAATATTGTTGAATAATTTCAAAGTAGTCTCCGTTCAGAAAAATTAAAAATAAGTGATACCAATTTTTCCATTAAAAGCAAAACTATTTAATTATTAATAAATACTTTCTATGCTATTTCGTTTTCAAGTTGGACCAATTTAATTGTAAATGTCATTGAACTTGGTTTTGTTTGCCAATAAATCAAAAGACGCAAACGAAAAAATTCACATTGTCTAAATTGATAAATTGTAGCTATGTATTGTCTAGACTTTTCTGTTTTTATTTGAATATTTTTTTTTTTACCCAACGCAACAATAGCTCTAGAAGGCACATGCTACTAGAGAAACGAATATTTATGACAGCTTAAAAAAGTCTAGATCGTATGTTACGGTAATGATTTGATAGGATTGTTTAACTCCCTAAGATATTAAAGAATTCGAATCATTTAGCATCCAACACTTATATGTTTAAATCGGTGGTAGGTAGCTACCGGCCTGACCCTAGGGCAAAGCTATTTCAAGTTTTGTCTTCAGCCGAGATTTCTTGGGAGAGGTCTTTAGCAGGAAACCCGGCATCGACCTAAAATTTAGGCTTTCAGCTCACGGTAGTTTTATCCAGGCTGAGGTATATAGCCGTCATTAAAAAAGCAGTCGTTTGGGTGCTCAATTGTGCCACGTCGAAAAGCGAGGTGGAATCTGCTGCGACATCGAAGCGGTAGTCCGACTCTTGGGCTTGTTCACGATGAGCTCAAGACTAGTAGATGAATTCCCGACATTGCTTTCAGCTGTGCCTGATTGTTTCCTAGTCAGACTTATAAGGGGTTATGAAACCTTGTGTGGAGTGGTGGTCCCGTTGACTATATGCGGGCTTCTCTTAGACGTATATATGTTCTTCGTGTCAGCTCAGACGCTAGACAAAAACCTAGACACATGCAACTGCAAGGTCTTTCTGGCCGAAGTTGGACCGTCGGCCGTCCAGGGATGGTTTGGACACACATAGCCGCAATTTATATTCCAGTGCGGTCGACACGAACCCAACACGCGATGTGACCATATATATCACCGGATCCTCACTGTCGTATCTGTACCTTAGAGGGCGATGAGCCAGAATCAACCCAATACTTTATCTTAAGCTCTCCAACTTTTGTGAAGATGCGGTCTAAATAACTAAGATCGCAGCTTTAGGCTGGCTCTGAGGTTCCTTCGTAACTGATAGCTCCCGCCTAAGGCTAGGTACATGACCTAGCGTATCGTGCGATTCACGTAGCCTAAGAAACTTTGTCCTCGGTACTCAGGGTTGGGGGTATCACAAAGGACTCTGCCGTAAAGTCAAAGCGCGACCTTAGCCTAACCTCCTTCATGAGAAAAAGAAGTTAGAGTTTTGTAAAAAATTTGTGTCGAGGCACAAACCATTCGTTGGGCATAGGTTTTTCGATTCCGGAATTGCTCGAGCAAAGATACGTCTATAATTTTTTCTGTTCAAAAACTGCGGTATTTTTAGCACACAAATGTTCATCTCTTATCAGTTAATGCGTTTATTCCGTGAAATTTTCTCAACTGGGACTTGCACGAGTATTCGCACAGTTAAAACAGTCAACAAATTGTCAAACTAGCAATTTGACACCCATGCAAATCAACGCCAAGCAATAATTTGCAAAAATAATTTTTATTATAATTTTCAAATTATTTGCGGACGCAAGCGCATGCCTAAGTATTTATATGCAAAATTCAATAGGTTTGCATGCCTTTATGACAGCTAATGTTCCGCGAAAATATGGGCCTCTTTACACAGCGCCATCAGCTAGAAAGTTCAAGTTCAAGGTTATAGAGTTATCGCCGTGCGTCAGCTGATGGCGCCGGCTATCTGTCTGTCTGCTCGACGCGCCAAATAAAAGTTTGTGGCGATCAAATCAACAAATCAACAAAACATAAATGGATTTCTATGTATTTATTAGTGAGTGGAAATGTAAATGTATATGCATTTGTCAATTGCTGGTACATTAACCTCAATATGTGTGCGTACGTATGTATGTATGCAAGTAAATCCACGTTGATTATTCTATGGCAATTAGAAAATTGATAATCGCAAAAGTGCAAATATGTAAATATGCGCCAACCAAGCCAGTAGCAACAATTAACGCGACGCATACAAATTGCTTGGCATTTTACTTAATTGCATGTGTTGTACTATCGCACTTATGTACATACATACACACATACACCCATAAATGTTATAGTGTATTTGTTGCACGTTACTTGAATTGTAATAAATAATAATTCCATGCGCGGGAAAATCGACAGTCGATTTTAAAAATAGTTGCTGAACAACTGAACTGTTGCGTGAATTGTAAACAGCATACGCGCATTGATATGAATACAAAATAATCAAATTTTTTTTTTATTTATAAAAAAATTTAAAATTTTATTGATAAAGTAGCTAATTGAATAGATGGGAGTGAACTGTCAATCAAATTGTCTACTTTAATTGACAGTTGGAAAAATTAATGACGTTCACGCGCTAGAAAAAATATTACCAGTATATACATTAGAGTGTACCAAAATAACTCTATGATGCGATACATTCATAACGGATGCTTTGCTGTATTATATGCCCGTGGAGCTACATGCTACATCCAACGGGGCTATTCTGGCTAAGATAGTTGCAAGTCTTTTGTAAGACAATTGAGAGACAGTAGGCAAGCTAGGTTGAAAAATTTACAAAGAAAAGCTGTATTGCCAACTTTCGCGTGGAAAAAACAGAAAGCGCTCAAGCTCCAAATGGAGATGTATGCATGTATGTATATCATTTTGTACGCGCTGCTCCAATGGCTAAGTGAGCAAAGTACTGGCATGCCATGCGAGTAATCCGAAGTGCGAATCGTCGGATTTTTTAATTTTATCTTTTAATGTATTTATATCTTAGATATTAGATTTTATTGCAAACAGAAATACATACATACACTGCCGGCAAAAAGTATTGGCACAGCAAATCTTTCACAATATATGCAACATTTTTTTCTAATGTTTTTGCGCCAATGTTTTATAAAAATATTGTTCATTCTGCAACAAAAACATAAAAATATATCTGATATAAATCTGATTAAAAAGTTGAAAATTTGCTGCATTTTCGCGAGTTTTCCACAAAGTTTAGGAATTATATTTTTATGTTGTATATATTGTGAAAAATTTGCTGTGTCAATACTTTTTGCCGGCAGTATGTATACATATTTCTAATTTTATTTAATTTAAAAAAAAAATTTGTTTACGTATTTTTTCCTACTTTAAAATTTATTGCTTTTTATTTAAATTTTTTGATTCTATTGTTTTATAAAAAAATAAAAATTTGTTTAATTTCGTTTAATAGCGTTTTATTTTCTCGGAATAATGTTGCATTTACTCTGACAGGGCTGTAAAGTTTTCGATTTCTTTTCTCAGCATCTTGAGTGTTCCTCCTTTGAAATGTTGCGCTATATTAATGTTGCCATATAGGAACGAACATTTTTTTTTAGAAAAAGGAAACGCCATAAGTTTTAGGAACTTACTCTTTCTTTATTTTTATTAATTTAATTATTTTTTCTTTTAAAATTTTAAGGTTTCATTGTTTTAACAAGAAAAATATATTTTTTTATTTAATTTAATTTTAGAAACCTTTTTTATTTATTTTTCCTTCTTTTAAATTTAAGTATGAATTTATTTATTTTTTCCCCCCAAGGGGCTGTAATATCCCTCACAAAGCAGTCAACAACCTCCATTACAGCTATGAAATGGTACCATATTAGTCCGAAAATGAACCCGAAATAGTCCCAAATTAGTCAAAAAAAAGAAAGAGTCATGAACTGTTCCCTAAATTGTAGGGAACTAGTCCTAAAATGTTCCCGAACTAATCCCGAAATTGTCCTGAACAGGTCCCGAAACGAAACTGAAATTTTCGGAAAATAGAAATGAAATTTTCGCAAAACGAACCTGAAATTTTCGGAAAATAGTCCCGAAATAGTCCTGAAATTGTCTGAACATATGTTCAAAAAAGCAGTTAAAAATGGGGAGTGATTCAGTCTAATGTATATAAATTATTTTCTCGTTTAAAAATTTTCTTAAAAACTCTCCTTCACATTTGCAATCCCTCTTTTTTGTCGCTTTTACAGGTGCATCCAACATTGTCATCACCCAGCCGGGTTATCACGATGAAAATTACATTGTGCTGCGCGACGATGAACGCAACTCATTACTCAATGGCAACACGCTCATTAGCAGCTTCCGCAATGTAAAATTCTATGCAGGCGTAACCTTCGAATACAATGGCGCCAAGAATTTAGTCGAGCGTGTAAATACCACATTCTCACGCAAACTGAAACGTGATCTGATTGTAGAGGTAAGCGCATGCGCTGGACTGCCATGATTGCCGTGATTCGCTACATTGTCTTTCGTTAATTCTCTCTCTCTCTCTCTCTGCACAGATTATTTCCATGAGCACCAATGCA